CCCCCCTCAAGTTTCGTCCCTGTATAGAGGCATGTGTCGTGTAGTAACACTGGGCCACCATTCTTAATACGGGACGGCCCTTATTGGACCTCTTTGGATAGCTGTTCAGATCAATGTTTCTCTGGTTAGGTTGTCGTTTGGTCAATTTGATTAACGAAATTTTATGTTAACATGAGTAGATAACGGCATTGCTTAAAAACGTTTTGAAATTTGTAGATATCAGAGTAAAGATTTGCCTGTCAGAACTTGCAGAAGAGCAAATGAAGGAGGTGAAAGGATTTTGTGAGAATTATATGATATCTCATAGTGCAGACGCAGTGGAACTGCGCAAACATTTCGGTGATTTCTTGGATGAGGTAATGCCCGACTTATATATCTTCTAAGGAACCTCTAAGGACTAAACAGGAATGGCACCCTTATGAAGCCTGTAGGTGGCCAATACAAATATGACTATATTTGTATTGGCCACCTATATTTGTAGTGGCCAATACAAATATGACTATATTTGTATTGACCACTGATTGTAAAGAGACTTCTTTACAATCAGTGAAGACATATTTGTATAATAGACCGCACTTGGTCACAGCAGCCGACGCTTTGGTATGAAGCTAGTCTATGTATTTTTCACTTCTACAAGTATAACCATTCAGGATTCTATTCCTGCAGTTGTTTGATTATAATTTCGTCTTAATTCAATATGAAAAAGAAGCAGGGCCCGCGGAGCGTATTAGAGAGTGGGGGGGAGGGGGGGCTAAAGGGTGAGGTTTAATTAATTTAGAAAGTTTCATTTAGATTTCTATTTTAATAATTTTGGCTGTCAAAAAAAGTGGGGGGGCTAAAGCCCCCCCAGCCCCCCTGTCTCCGCGGTCCCTGAGAAGAGAACTCCAGTTTTCCTCCACTTGGCATTGAACTGCCCAAAAGCTAAAGCCAATTATAACTCTTGCCAAAACGGGTCAAGCAGAACGAAATACGTTTGGGGGCCCAAAACCTGACGACATACCGAAGGGCCCCACCCCCAATAACATATCACTTGGACCGGCCCTGCCTGTGATGACCCTAAGCCCTTACTGAACTTCTAGGGAGAACTGTTAGACATATATCCGATGTAGATTCGATGTGCATAAAATTCGCTTTAATTTTTCTTGTAGCATATAAGACCGTCAACCAACATTTCCTAATATTTTTCTTAGAATATTCAGCAGTATGTAAATCTAGTAAAGACAACGTGCTCGGATGAAACTCCGTTGATTTTTATCTTCCGTCTATCTGACTTGGACGCCGCTAATTCTTTTTGGAAGAATTTTAATGAAGGAGACCTAAAGTCTACCATTAAGGCGAAGCTTCAGAGTTTTGGAAACGAGAAGAATTGTTTTAAGAATAAAGATATTAAGTTCGATATTGCCATTGACGAAGATGATTTTCAGAAAGTTCATCATACACTTAAAAATCCTAAAGAATGTAAGTCAAGGGCACAATATAAAATAGATCGTATGATTGTAATTTTACGGCAGGAAGGACACCTAGTAATTGCGTCTTTTATTCCAATCCATCATCATCATCATCATCATCATAATCGTCATCATAAATAATCATCATCATTCATTATCATCATCCCCATCATGATCATCATTCTCACCATCATTATTTTTCACCTTTCGGAACCACTTACCTAATTAAATTGGTCTTCAATTTTACCTCTTCGACAAGGACTTGAGACTTTAGTAATTTAGAAGTGATCAATTTATCCATTATAACTGAGGGCATGTAGTAAAACACTGACTACCGGAACACCGCCGGAACACCGCCGGAACACCACCGGAACACCACCTAACCCTAACCCCAACCCTAACCCCCAACCCTAACCCCAAACCCTAACCCCAAACAAAATGGTGGTGTTCCGGTGTTCCGGTGGTGTTCCGGTGTTCCGGTAGTCAGTGTTTTACTACATGCCATAACTGAGGTTAGTTTAGTTCACTTTTACTCACTTTTAGTTACGTTTTTCTTATCATTGGTATTGCTTTTCATTTGGTTGTAAAACACAATATTATGATTTATATTTAGGTCAGGTGTTAGTTGATGGTATGGAAAAACAGGAGTTGAAATTACGCGACTACCAGATTGAGCTTGTTCAACCCGCACTTGAGGGTAAGAATACCATCATCTGCGCGCCTACGGGTAGGGGCAAAACGTTTGTTGCCATGGAAGCTATAAAGCATCGCATGACCCAACCAGATCCAAGATATATTGCGTTCATAGTAAACACGGTCAGCTTGGTCGAGCAACAGCAGTCGTGTTTGGAGCGATATCTCCCAGAGTCTGTGGTAGTCTCGAGTGTTTGCGGCAGTAATCCAGATGTCTCGCTTCCTAACGTCTTGGAGGGTACTCATGTGGTCGTATTAACTGCACAAGTGTTAGTGAATTCTCTCAAGAAGGACAAGCAAGCCAGCGAGCAAGCTGCTGCAGTGGAGAAGGAGAAGGAGATTTCAATATCGCAATTTTCGCTTCTGGTGTTTGATGAATGTCACCATACTACCAAGGAACATCCGTATAATGAAATCATGAGATGGTACATGAAAGAGAAGTTTGAGGTATGAACATGCATTATGTTGTTGTTGGGATAGAACTTTATATTTCTTGGTTTACAGATCCGCCGACCGTAAAAATCTGGAAAGTGAAAAAAAGTTGAAAATACATCTCAACTGTCTGGCTCATCATACCTCCTAAATTGAATAAAATCATTTAGCGTTATAAAATACTACTATTTAACAAATATAAAACATTTTCCGTGTTGATATACAGTTATATCAACACGAGTGGAATTGGGAAAACGAGAAATTGTATGGAAACACGACGCCCGAAGGGCGGAGTGTTTTCATACAATTTCCAGTTTTCCCAACTTCCACGAGTGTTGATATAACTATATATCAATACGGAAAAAATGTTTTATATTTTTTTTATAATATAGCAATGTCAAAAGCCCGAAGGATAAGAAAAATTTCCGTGTTTATAAGCGGCAGAAAATTTCCCGTGTTGACATTGAGTTATATCAACACGGCTCTTAGCCAATCAGCGTTCAGAATTTACAAATGCTATATTATAAAAGAAAATATAAAATATACTCCTATAAGAAAATATAAAATATACTCCAGGAAAAGATTGTATTTGATTCTGCCCATAACATAGTCTTGTAGTAATTTGGTTCGGCCATAAACATAGTCGTGTTTTTATAACCTACAATCTTTTTGGAGAAAAAATCTGTAAACCGATAATACAAAGATCTGGCCTTGTTGTTGTATGCGGAAATTTGGTTTCCCTAACCGCTTTCTCTACTTTTTACCTTTTTCTTTTTTCATTTGTTTTTTTTTTCTGAATCCAATGCCATGTGTAATAAATATTTCTAATCCTATACAGGTTTCCTCTTCTAATCTTCCACAAATTATTGGTCTCTCTGCGTCTCTGGGCATTGGGACTGGAAATAGCGGATGTGGCACGAGAGCTGAGCAATATATCATGGGATTATGCGCCAACCTTGATGTTCATGAATTACAGGCAAGTAAACTAAAATGAAATGAACTGAAAGAATTGCCCTTAGAAGTACTTACGTCAGGCAATGTTTTATTGTGGGATACTTTTGGGTCGATAATTTAATGTTTGGAAATTACAAGCCCGTTTACACTACACTCAATTTTTGGTACCCGTATCATTTTTATCCGTGCTTGGACTAGGTACGGGTACCAGTTTTATCCGTGTCGTACCAAAATTCGAGAGTAGTGTAAACGGGGCTGTGCGTGACGCAAGCACTTCTAAGGTCCATCACACTGCACTGTCGTATACTACACTGCACTGCACTGCACAGCATCGCGCCGAACCGAATTACATGAAACCGCAGCAAAACTAACTGAACTGAGAAAGCCAAAAAAGGAGATCCTCGATTGGAATAGCGGAAACCTAAACCACACTTATTTTACTTATACTGGGTTGCTTAATCCGTTCTAAACTGTTTGGTTATTGACTCAGTGTTACTGCAAGAGGAAACCGGAGTACCTGGGATGTTTGAATCAAACTGGAAGTACACTTCTCACGGTCACATGGGACGGTGGTGAAATGATATAATGAAACAACCATGTATTGCAGCAATCGTACTCTTGTCATAGAGGCGAAAGCCACGTGCCACCAACACTGCGAATAATTCTTTCATATTCTTGTTCAATATTTGTATATTGTCTCATTTTTTGTATCGGCCATTGTTGTCGTTGTTTAACTTGTATCATTTGGATTCAGGTACATGTAGAAGAGGAAGCCACCACTACGAAAATCACGCCGATATCACGTGATTACATCAACGTATTTCAGAAAACCATCAAGGACGTCATGACCGAAATCGAAAAGATGATGTCATCAGTTGACATACATGAGCACCAGTATGGTAGCCAACCCTACGAAAACTGGGTGGTCAACCAGCTGAAGGAGAATCTTGGTAGAGACATGTTGACCTGCTTAGAACATTTGAAGTTTTATAACAGTTCACTGATGATCAACGATGAGGTCCGTTCTGAGGACGCACTCCGGTATTTACGGGAAAATATCGAGCAGCCTCAAGAGTCGACGGAAGTGGAAAACAAACCTCGAAAATTAACGGAAATGGAATTCAAACTTCGAGAGTTAAAAGACAAAGCTACAGCAGTCATCCGACAGGGTTTCGAGGTATCCCAACTAAACCCGGGTTTGCGAATGTTACAAGAACGCTTGCTCGAGAAGTTGTCTTGCCGTGGAGAAAATGGCTTTGAGTCTAAAGGAATTATTTTTGTGAGTACGCGATTCGTTGCTGAAGCATTGGTCGACTGGCTGGGAAAATCACAGGCTTTAAAGAATTTGGTAAAAAGACCAACCTCGGTGATTGGCTGTGGTCAGCGAAACGGAAAAGGTAATATAGATTTTATGCACTGCGATTTATGGAGACGATTTCAGATGTACTGTGATCGTATTTGGGAAATATAATAGTGAGCGTCATCTGACGCATCACCAACTGAAAATATTCGTCATTAGCATCCACTTGAACCCAACTCGGGCCGATATATCGCATAAGGGCTTATTGATATGAGCCCGCTTTACCCTTGACTCGTACCCAGTCCCTCGAATGGAGATTGAAAACACCTCCGACCACTGATCTATATATGTACGATGGCTTGAATACCATCAACACAGAATAGAGACTATAAAGAAGCCCGACTTCTTGGTTTTTCCTATGATTTTGGCGTAACCATAATTCGTCATCAAAATGCTGACGCCATGGCCTTAGTCAGTGTACTTATGAGAGGTGTTCACCATAGGTATTCATCATAGGTATTCATCCCCTCTGATAATATTCAAAATGGCGGACGTGATCGACGTCCAGGGGAAATGCCTTTCATAAGCGCACTGACTATAGGATTAGGACCATGGCGTCTTTATTCTGTGCCATAAAACCTTGAGACATCCGAAGTTCCGAACGAGCGTACTTTGCCGAGAGGCCCGAGACCCATTCCATCCGTGTTTATATTGTTTACTGATTTTCATGTTTCAGCTGGTATGGCAAAAGCGAGCCAAGACCGTGAAATCAAGAACTTTCGTGAAGGTGACTGCAATGTCATTGTAGCGACTTCAGTTCTGGTAGAAGGAATCGATATCCCAAAATGTAATTTCGTCATTAATTACGGAATGCCTGGTAATGAGATCACTTTGATGCAAGCTCGAGGCCGCGTGAGAGCGAACATGCCTGATGATTGGCAGTATGACATCATCGTGTCACGTGAACAGGTCATGATCAAAGAACGAGATTTGCGGAAGGAAAAGTTGATGAAAGAGACTATCGCGAAAGTGAAAAGAAAGAGCAAGGAAGATTTTAAAAAAGCGGTAGGAACATTAATAACTTGAAATATCTCGTTGAAAATTAAAGTAATGCAATTTGCCGTTTAATACCAATATAGCTGTCGGCCACTGGCCATTTAGTGAATGCTAACCGTTACATATAATATTGTAAAAAATTGGATTTAAAACACTTTCTGTAACCCACTGCACACCTACAAAAATGCAGCAGACTTGTAACAACATTAACAATTGTCGTCATTGCTTTAAGTAATTGTAGCAAGGTTGTTGTCAGCAAGCTTGATACCAGTTGCTGTGGGTTTGACAGCCAACAAGTCCTAACAAATTTCATGACATGAAACACAAGCTTGATAAGCCAACAACTTGTCAACAAGATGTGAGATTTTTACGAGTACAGTCCACAATACACTCTCTCCTGCGATTCAACTTACTTCGCACAAACGTGTTTCCTTTCACTACTTTTAAAAGCTTCTTTTCTCTCAGCAAAATTATCCGTGGATTGGAACGGACAAGAAAATTTTTCTTTGTGTCAAAGTAATTAGTTCCAACCCAGAGCTCACAAGACAAAGAAAAATGTTCTTGTCCGTACCAATCTACGGATACTTTTTCTGAGTGGAAACTTGCCTTAACACGCGTTCTTTTTTCTCTAATAGGTGGAGAAACGTCAAAAGGAACTCTACGACAACTACCTTAAAAATCTTGCCAAACAAGGGTCAAGTCAAGCTTCACCGGTTCCAGATGATCTTGATTTTCACTGTTTCAGATGTGACGCATTTGCCTGCAAGGCAAAACACATTAAAAAGTTCCACGAGACAAATCATATTGTCCCGAACTATGGAGCTAACCTCCACAACGTTGTTTTCAAAGAGGTCTCGGACTCCAAAACCATTCCTGGAGGTTTCAACAAGACTGGAAAAACGTATTGTAAAACGTGCAATCACGATTGGGGCAACCGAGCGAGGAACGACTATGGAGAGTTCCCTCTGGTAAAGGTCTCTTCCTTTCGTGTTAGAAAAAGTTCAGGAGAATCGATGGTGTATAAAAAGTGGAAAGAATTTCCATACGAACTCGATACATTCGATCCAGAGAACGATGTTGATGTACTGAACTGAGCAATTCTTTGCTCATGAGGAAAACGAAAGTTTTGATCCTACAAAGTTTGATTCTCGGAAACTTTGCACCATGGATATTAATGAAAAATATATTTATAAAATATAGAACTGATATAACTATCCCGTATAAATAAGTTGTTTTAATTAATCCTGTAATTTACAACGAACGATATCAGTTGAACTGTTTTCTATAAGAATTCAGCATTCACAATTTTCCCGTAATTCTAAAATGTAATTTCTTAAGCGGGTCATCTGTAGCACTCTTGGTTTTATCCACTATTTTACATACTCGAAAAACTTCAGAGAAGTAAAAGACATTATACAGCAGAGAGAGAGAGAGAGAGAGAGAGAGAGAGAGAGAGAATTATTAGTGCAAATTTAAGCATTAATTGAAGTTATATTAAATTTCACAAAATGTACACACTCGTATATTAAAGTATTAAACAGTACTTAAAATACTCATTAAACATTCATAAATCTTGTGGCAAATCATGTCAGCCATAATATGTCACGTGGAGTGACTTTATATCTGATAAAACTCATCTTCATTAGTATTCTTTATATAATCAAAGTATAGGGAAACAACTATACTGTGATATAATCCCCTATACTGTGATATAATTCTTTTCTATAATTTTGTGATATAATTTCCCTATACTGTGATATAATTCTTCATCCTAATTAGTACGATTATATAATTGTTCATCCTAATTAGTATTCTTTTGTAGTCGTATTTTACTGTAAGCTATTCAATAAATTATACAGTTAATAGTGATAATTTTAACTACTATTTAAAACACCCGAACTCGCGTTTTATCATATCTAAAACGCTCAGCTGCGCCTCGCGTTTTAAATATGATAAAGCACTCCTCGTGTTTTAAATAGTACTTAAAATTATCACTATTAACTGTATAATTTATAGAACTTTTATGGATTTCAATCGTTTCAGTGAACAAATTTCAAAGATAGATAGATTTAGTACTGCACCCAGGGACGTCGCTATAGGGGGGTCCCAATAATTCAAACGTTGGTCAAAGTTGGTCAAAATGGAAGTGATATTTGCCCAAAGTTGGTCAAAATGGAACTGATATTTGCTTAAAATTGAAGGTAAAACTGGGAAAAATTACCAAAAGTTTGGGATAAAAGATGGTCGAAGTTGGCCAAAGTTCTGAAATGGTTCAATTTTAAAGATTTTCAGTTACGTTTGCGATGAAAAAATTGGAAGTTTTGGTCATCTTGGTCGAAAAATTTTGAATTTGCTCATGGTGGTACGGAAAATTTTTTTTGACAATGCTTATGTTAGTCGGGAAAATTGTTTTTGACTATGCTTATGTCAGTCCGGAAAATGTTTTGGACCCCCCAACATTTTCAGGAAAAATTTTTACGACTTGATCAAAATCCTAGGAAATGTTGGTCAAAACAGGACGACCCCCCTCCCCCCCAATGTTGATGACTTCGCGACGTCCCTGACTGCACCGGTATCGTAGGTTCAATTTTCGTAGCTGTTCCTGGTTAGGTCTAATAAATATGTAAAATTTACACTCGAAATTTCCATATCTACGAAATCCTTCAACATCAGTTCAATTAAAGCCAGTTTTCCCATGGTTTTCCAAGCGCACCGGTTTTGCGCGCGGGGAGGATTTTTTCTTTCTCTTGTGATTTCTTGGGTAGAACTAATGAGAAAAGACAAATATTCCGCCTGGCGGAAAACCAGCTAAATCGAGTGAGTCAGTGAGATCTAAAAATCCTGATATACTACGTTACTAGAACACATTATATAATACCTTATTGAATTTTGATCGTTTAATTGGCTGTCAATATGGTCACGTGATATTGAATAGAAAATTCATTTCCCTAAAGTGCAATGGAATACGTTCCATTGCCAATCTCGTTCTCTGAGCCTGCGATTCTCGGGAAGGAACGCGAGGCTCAGGAATAATCCGTTGCCGAAAGCCAGGAATCCTGCCTAAGATTGAACTGCGCATTGCATATCAACGGCCAATCAGATTCCTCCCTGAAACGGATTATCCCAGAGCCTCAAAGAGCCTCACCAGAGGCAATCTCGTACCCATAGCTCTGGGTACGAGATTGCACCAGAGGAGGAATGAGGGTCTTCCCACAATGCATTGCGTCTCATTATTACCAGTGTAGTATACGAAGGTGTCTAATTATTAATAAAGGTCGCGTGCAAGGGTCAAGAAAGGATATCGGATGACAATAACAAACTGGATTGCTAGACAATATACAGGACAAGAATATAGTGCATTGAGTGCAGGGAACTAGAATAGGATTTAATAAAGTGATTTGTTTATACTGCTTGCGTGTCGTGATATATTACATTGGTGCCGTGACCAAGATGACTACATCAACAGCGACAACAAGAGCAAATTTGTTATCTGTTCCTGAAACATTTTCAAACGGTGATTTTGATTGACTGCACTGCACAGCATCGCGCCGAACCGAATCGCAGCGAAACTAACTGAACTGGGAAATCCAAAAAAGAAGATCCTCTATTGGAATACTGGGTTGTTTACCATTTACATGGAAAACCTATCCGGTTTGAAATTGTGCTAATGGTAAGCAAAATTTCGGATAGAAAATTCCATTCGGATTATTCGCTTTCCATTTAGAGTGACTGACGGAAAGACACTGAAGGGTTGTTTACCATTTACATGGAAAACCCATTCGGTTTGAGTTAAATCGCGAAGAGCCTGGAACTGGTGAAAAAATAAAAAAGATGCAAATGGAACAGAATTCACCGGTTGAAACGTTCCAAGTCGATAAGAGAGAACAACCTTTTCAAACAAACCGTTTATTCCGGAAAAGTTCCGGTTGGGCCGTCGAAATATACTTGTTCCATTTACTTTCCGTATGGAATCACCGGAATTTCCATGTAAATGGTAAACGACCCTGGAAACCTAAACCACACTTATGCTGGGTTGCTTAATCCGTTCTAAACTGTTCGATTATTGACCCAGTGTTACTGCAAGAGGAAACCGGAGTACCTGGGATGCTTGAGTCGAACTGGAAGTACTTTTCTTACGGTCACATGGAACCTTGGTGAAAATTTAATGAAACAACCGTATATTGTAGCAATCGTACCACCACCACTGCGAATAATTCTTTCATATTCTTGTTCTTAAACCTACAAACATTGTCACATTTTTTATATCGTCCATTGTTCTCGTTATTTAACTTGTATCATTTGGATTCAGGTATATGAAGAAGAGCAAGACACCACTACGAAAATCACGCCGATACCACGTGATTACATCAACGTGTTTCAGAAAACCATCAAGGACGTCATGACCGAAATCGAAAAGATGATTTCATCAGTTGATAAACATGATCACCAGTACGGTAGCCAACCCTACGAAAACTGGGTGGTCACCCAGCTGAAGGAGAATCTCGGTAGAGACATTTTGACCTGCTTAGAACAGTTGAAGTTTTATAACAGTTCATTGATGATCAACGATGAGATTCGTTCTGAGGATGCACTCCGGTATTTACGAGAAAATATCCAGTCTAAAGAGTCGACAGAAGTGGAAATCAAACTTCGAGAGTTAAAAGACAATGCTACAGCAGTTATCAAACAAGGTCTCGAGGTATCCCAACCAAACCCGGGTTTGCGAATGTTGGAGGAACGTTTGCACGAGAAATTGTCTTGTGGTGCAGAAAATGGCCTTGAGTCGAAAGGAATTATTTTTGTGAGAACGCGATTCGTTGCTGATGCTTTGGTTAAATGGCTGGAAAACTCGCAGGCTTTAAAGAATTTGGTGAAAAATCCAACTTCGGTGATTGGTTGTGGTCAGCGAAACGGAAAAGGTAACTACTCAAGCTCCTCCTTCGCTTCCGGCAATATATTTTAGGGCACGTTTAATGCACTGCGATTTGTCGGGACTTCAGATGTACTGTAATGATAATTAGGATATAATAGCGAACGTCTTCTAACGACATCATCAACTGAAAATATTCGTCACTAGCATCCAGTAAAACCTAAATATGCCCGACAAATCGTATGAGGGCCTGTTCACGAGCCCGGTTTGCCAGGAAGCTCACCTGTGTGGGATGATTGTGTATATTTTTATCCCATCTAATATCCCACCTCGGTTCAATGACATTATGTAAACATGGAGTCTTCGAAATATTTTTGTTGTAAATATAAACAAACTGCACCTAATGGGGCTCTAAAAAGAACAGCTTTGAACTAGTAGAGCTATCCAGTCTAGTGTAATAAATTTATCACTCATCATTCCATCAGCGCTGCCCTCTCTTCCAGATAAAGTGAACGATCCCTAATTATGGTCAATTTCCTGGATAGGAAATGAGTCCATCCCAATTAAACTCTCAACAGAAAATTGGTAGCTGAGTCATACGAGGCATCAGCATTTTTCAAATGAGTTCCATACAATAAAAGATAATTTATGAATAGCCAATTTTCAAAAGACTTGTACTTCCTTGCATACGTTGATGACGTACCCGAATGAGCCCGCTTTGCCGAGACGCATTCCATCCGTGTTTATATTGTTTATTAATTTTCATGTTTCAGTTGGTCTGGCTAAAGCTAGCCAAGACCGTGAAATCAAGAACTTTCGTGAAGGTGAATGCAATGTCATTGTAGCGACTTCAGTTCTGGTAGAAGGAATCGATATCCCAAAATGCAATTTCGCCATCAACTATGGCATGCCTGGTAATGAGATCACTTTCATGCAAGCTCGAGGCCGCGTGAGAGCGAACGAGCCTAAAGACTGGCAGTATTACATCATCGTGCCACGTGATCAAGTCATGATCAAAGAAAGAGATTTGCGCAAGGAAAAGTTGATGAAAGAGACTATCACGAAGGTGAAAAGAATGAGCAAAGAAGATTTTGAAAAAAAGGTAGAAATATTAATAACTTAAAATATTTCGTTAGAAATAAATTAATTAAATGACCGGAATTTACTGTTGCCAGTGTGCAATATTATAGTCGGCCATTTTCCGAGCAAAACGCTGCGATGTATCCTTCCACTCACCACGCGTTGCTCTGCACAGGCATTTTACGACAGTCCATTTTACCACAATCAGAATATGAATTATTTCTCCCTTATTCTCGTGAACATATGCAAGTGAAATATTTAATTACAATGCACAGAGCCTCCTAAGGGGAGAGGGGTGAGGGCAAAAGGGGTAATTGGCACCAGATAAAGTGGGCCGCCAAGTAACAATTTTGCGAGTAAATAGGACGCGGAAATCTTTCCTACAATTATACGTTACAACACACCGCACTATATCTTTAACGTGCGTTCTGTTTTTTTCTCTAAAAGGTGGAGAATCGTCAGAAGAAAGCCTACAAAGAATACCTGGAAAGTCTCGCCAAACGAGGATCAAGTCAAGCTTCACCGGTTCCAGACGATCTTGATTTTCACTGCAAAAGATGTGGCGCGTTTGCCTGCAAGGCAAAACACATTAAAACGGTCCACGTGACAAATCATATTGTCCCAAACTATGAAGTTAACCTCCACAATGTTGCTTTCAAAGAGGTCTCGAGCTGCTCTAAAACCATTCCTGGAGGTTTCAATAAGACTGGTAAAACGTATTGTAAAATGTGTGATCAAGATTGGGGTAACCGATCAAGAAACGAGTATGGAGAGTTCCCGCTGCTAAAGATTGCTAACTTTCGTATTAAAACAAGTTCAGGGAAATCGATGGTGTATAGCAACTGGAAAGATTTCCCATACAAACTGAATACATTCGATCCAGCCGAGAGCGATGTTGATGTACTGAACTGAGTATTCTTTGCTCATGAGGAAATCGAAAGTTTTGATTGTACAAATTTTGATTCTTGGGAACTCTGCACCATGGATATTAATGAAAAACAATTTAGAACTGATAGAACTATCCAGTATAAATAAGTTGTTTTAGTCTTGTAATTTACAACGAACGATATAGTTGAAATGTTTTCCTTAAGAATTCAGCATTCAGAAATTTCTCCATAATTCTAAATTGTACTAGTAATATAATCTGTAGCACTCTTAGTTTCATCGACTATTTTACATGCTCGAAAAAATTTAGAGCAAAAAACATTACATGCAAGGAGAGAGAGAGAATTATTATTGCAAACTTACGCATTAATTGAGGTTATTAAATCATTCAGAAATTTCTCCATAATTCTAAATTGTACTAGTAATATAATCTGTAGCACTCTTAGTTTCATCGACTATTTTACATGCTCGAAAAAATTTAGAGCAAAAAACATTACATGCAGGGAGAGAGAGAGAGAGAATTATTATTGCAAACTTATGCATTAATTGAGGTTATTAAATTTCACAAAATGTACATATACTTGTATATTAAATAATATTAAAATGATCAGTATTAACTGAATAATTTATAGAACTTTTATTGATTTCAATCGTTTCAGTGAACAAGTTTCAATAGACATGAGACTATTCTAGTAGTAGAACACAGCCCAGATATAGGGCTTTCTATTTATATTTCAGCACTTTTTCACTTGAAGTATAAGCAATTTGCCAATTTGGGAGCGATCGCGCAAGCGAGAACACGGCATCTCGCTCGTGACGCCATTGAAATCGATTAATAATGAAGTGCCGTCTGCCGAGTAGAGGTCCTAGATGGCTGACTGGAACATACTTTAGGATAAATTTAGAGGTTATCTTTTCACACGGACCATGCCTGAGACTCTTCCACAATCCGTCAAATTTGCTTCGAAAAGGCAGGCACTTGTGGGTTGGAACATGACGCAAAGGCCCATGTGAATGCTCTAACTGAAATCTAATGCACTCCCATCATTCAACGCTGGACGATTCTTCAGGCGCCGCACGTGATTGTTTTGGCACAGGACACAAAATGAAATATTCCACTAATTTATATAAGCACCTAAGGACAGGCATACCGTAAACCTCCAGTATAAGCCCCCCCCCCGAATATAAGCCCCCCCCCGAATATAAGCCCATCATATTAACTAACGCTCAGGCCATTTGGAATATAAGCCCCCCCCCCGTATAAACCCACAGGCTTATTATTGGACAGGTATTTATTAACGCAAGTTCAGACGAGTGATGATAATTACATTACAACATGTTAACCAACTTGTTTCATTTTGTGTTATATGCTGTATGTTTATATTTCTTTTCGTCCACGGTATAGTTTACAGGTAAAGTAAATATTACTAACACTAAATGTCGTCGTCCTATATAAGTCCCCCCATGTGCATAAGCCATAGGTATAAGCCCATCAAAAAACGCTTACGAACGAATAATAGTCGGAGGTTTACGGTATACATGTATAGTAGTGCCTAGTGGATCTTCTTTGCCACTAAAAGTTTCAACCGAGAACGTTTTGTCACTCACTGAAACTTTCAACTGAACTAAATCATCATGTTGATACAGCTTCGTACCCAGGCGCAAATAACTAAAAATAGGCACACTCAGTATTAACAGTGTTACTGTGTTTCAACTGGCGCAACTATAAATCAGGACAATATTAAAAGTAACTATACTAGTAACTGCAACAATTTTAACTGTATTATTAACTTATTTCTCCAATTTAAATCCCCATTGGTCAAATTACAGACACATGACACCCTCAATGAATTGTAAAGTGCGAATATGAATTTTAAGATATATATTATGATAATATTTAGAATAGGATTCCGTTTACTAGTAAACGAAGTAAATGGTGCTTGTATATTGTCGATTTGTGCCTAAAATTTAAATCGGCCCTTCAAGTCAGTAATATATCATTGTAGGTATAAACAATGTTATGCCCGATCATGTGACACGATTTAGAGAATTTCATTGGTCTTCATTATGAATGTTAGAAGTCAAATCATATGTAAAATGAGTAGGGAAGTTCCCCGCGGGGAATTCCCAGAAATAGATTATAAATTACGCTCTCGAGCGAACGAATACTTTGGTTCTGCAGGCTTTAATAAAACAAAGAATTTAGCGAACAACTTGGTTCGAAAACTATATTGGTGATACGTATAATGTATCCTTAGTCCTTACTATTCACGATGGTTGATATAACAGATTGGGAGCAAGTGTCTAGCAGGGTAAAATATATAATAAAAGAAATCGACCCTATCAAATTATTGCCTGTTCTTGAGTTAGCTGGTATCCTAGGTGAGCAAGACGGTCAATGTATTTCGGCTGTATGTACGGCCAAAGGGCCGATTCACGCAACACAAAATGAACTTCTCGTGCGGTTGAAGAAACGTGGCCCTACTGCATTCCCAAACTTCGTGGCAGCTCTACGTGAAACAGGCCAATCTCACGCCGCTCAACTATTAGATCCAACATTTAAAGGTAAACATTCCATTTATTTGCCAAAATGTTTCAATTAAAACGCCTCATTTCACCGAATTCATGCATCGGCACTAGACAAAAATACTTGTGCATGTCTATCACCTCAGCAACCACAGGTGTCCGACCAATATGAAGTTGTCTGATTGCAACTTCGCCGCAATCGCATGTGAAAAAATTCCTTCTCGGCATGGATGTGGCTTTACCAATGACCAAGGCGGAAGGGCGAAAACATCGAAGACCGCGGCTCTTTATAAACTCTTTTAAGCATGGTAATGCCATTCTGATGTTGGTCCTGTTATTATTAACGAGTTTTGAATGTTTATGCTCTACAATTGTACCAATGGCAATGACAGAAAGCAGTAGGTATGTCCTGCGTATAGAGATTTTCACTATGGAGTATGATGGTATAATAACTTTATTAGCATGACCAACAGTTACAGGTATTGCTAAAGCTTTAATACAATAACTAAACATACAGACTAAAGTTAACTACTACAGGCTAAATACGACCTATTTACAAGATAGAGGTCAAATACGATAATATTGAACTTTATTGTTCAGCATCCCTGGTCTCAAGGCGTTTATCTCTTAGCTCGAAACAGGAAAGAACAAACTTGGATAGTTTTAGAATCGTTTCATTTTCAGTTGACTTTAATATGTCAACTGATAGATTTTGTTCTCTTTGGTATGTATTGTTGGCGAGAACAGTGAGGAAGTCTTGCCTAATATTGTCGTAGGCATCACATGAAATAAGAAAGTGTTCCTCATTTTCTATTTCGTTTGATTTACAAAGCTTACATATTCGTTCTTCTCGGGGAATGTTGTGGTATCTACCACATTCAATCATTAATTTGTGATTGCTTATTCGGAATCGAGTCAGTGATCTCCTCTGGTTTGTGTTTCTTATTACGGTAAGATACTTTTCTAATTGGTATTCCTTTTTGAAAGTTGAGTAGAAATATCATTTGGACGAGTGTTCAATTTGGTGTTTCCATAATGTAATATTGTAACGTTGTTTAACAGTGTCAATGATAGAATTTAATGATTGAGCAGATATTGATTCTAAATCCACTATTTGCGAGTGGCATTTGTAGTGTTTTAAAATATCCATAGCATTTTTATAAAAGGACATTTTATTATTCGAGTATAGGTCTTTTGATATTAAGAAAGCTTGTTTTGCAATTGCTGTTTCAGGTAATGAATTCAAGTGTGCTATATAGTTGAATAATCGCCGTTTGTATATACTAATTTGTAGAGGGAATTTTCCTAGTTCTCCTCTCGAAGCCATATTGCTAGCTTTTTTTCCTACACCTAGGTATAATTTACAGAACCGTAGGTGGGCCTTCTCAGTTGGTGACTTATCCCATTTGTTGAAATCATTTTTGAGATAAGCACCCCATATCTCTGAGTTGTATAGGAGTATGGGTGATATTATGCTTTCAAATATCTTGATAGCTAATTTAGGATTAAGGTAATGTAGGTTGAGGTGTCTTCGTATGCTGCCTAATGCGTGTAGTGCTTTTTCGCTCAGTTGTTTTTGAGCCAGTGTGAAAGTGCCATGTGAATTTAATTTAATACCTAAATAGCAATATTCATTTACTATTTCGACATTTTTGGTATTTAGCATAAAATTTGGTTTAATCATTTTTGGATTCCCTTTTTTGAAGATCATGATTTTTGTTTTCTTGAGGTTTACCTCCATCAGCCATTTATTACACCAGTTTTGAAGTTCATCAAGGCATTTTTGAAGTCCAAATCTTGATTTTTGGACCGATGGCGCAGGCGACAGTAGACAAACAACAACAATGGTTTGGTTTTCTTATTATTAAATTATACAAACACGAAATTTGCATAAAATATGTATATATAATCTGAAGCTATAAGATAAAGAATAGAAAGAAAATTACGACTATGTTTACAAATATAAATACAATACATTACGTTACAATTTAAAATTACACTGTTTTTAACTTACATTTGTCCAAACCAGTGATAAACTTTAAAACCATAAATCCTAACTTGACTTTTCCCGGTTCAAAACATTAATTTTTAGCGTTTCTTTAGACTACTTTTATACGTACTTTTAACGTTCAACATGGCTTCCTTTTCGCGCGCTTTTTCTCAGTTCATCGCGGGCGACAATAAATATTCTACGTACGTCATGTTATTTTAGTCAAATCAACGTAACATTCCCCCCGGCAATGGGAGAATTCCCATTTCTTCCTTCATTCGTCTTCGTAGCCTTCAACTGGGTATATAACCGCAATCTTGCTTATAGGACGTGAATAAGTACCTTTCGTTGTCTTCACCATCACATTTCTTACCAATCCATCTTGTCCCGGAAAGACTTGGACAATTCTTCCAGTTTCCCATTTACCTCGTAGTGCGTTTGGATCCGACAATACTACGCAGTCATTCACTTTAACGTTTCGCGATTCGGCATTCCACTTTTTTCTTGGAACCAGTTGTGGTAGTACGTCTCTCGACCACTTTTTCCAGAAGGCTTCGACAATTCGTTGACAAAATTCAAATCTATGACGTGGGTTTTCTGTCTGTCGGAATGGACCTTGAGGGATTGTACTGGTTGCTCTACCAAGTAGGATATCGTTAGGGCACAAGTAGGAACCATCGTCGGGGTCCGTTGGAATGCGACCGATGGGTCTTTGGTTAACTAAATTGGTAATCTCTAACAGACAGGTGTATAGCTCGAACGGTGCAAGAACTGCATCACCTATAGCTTTCTTGAGGGCTGTTTTGATAGTCTTAACCATAGCTTCCGTAGCACCATTCTGATGAGGAGCAAGAGGGGTAGTAAATTGCCATTTTATGCTGCGTTCTGCACAGAATTCTTTCAACTGCTTTACATTCCATCCTTTGATCATCAGGCGTAATTCATTTTCAGCTCCTACCATTTGAGTGCCATTATCGGACAGGATGAACTTAGGATAACCTCGATAAGAGAAGAATCGTCGTAATACTTGCATAAGTTCCATAGCACTAGCATCAACAGCAAGTTCACAGTGGATAGCTCGGGTATTGAGACAGGTGAATACAACACCGTAATGTTTACATGTCTTGTTTCGACCGACTTTCACTTTCAATGGGCCGAAATAATCCAATGACGAGTAGAGGAATGGTGGCGTGTGTGGCTGTAGACGAAACTTTGGCAAATTCGCCATCAACTGCGTTTCCACTTTCGCTTCGATTTCGCGGCAAACTGTGCAACGATTCTTGATGACCTTTGCAATTCTGTGGGCTTTGATGATCCAATACTTCTTTCTGGTTTTGGCGACCGTGGCTGCGACACCGTTATGACCAACTTGATGAGCATCACGTATGATGACCTTCGATATGTGACTATTATAGGGCAATAACACTGGTCGTTCATTGTCGTAGGAAACAAGTGACGGGTTTACGCGTCCTCCAACTCGAATTAACTTCTTGTTATCGACGTAAGGCGAGAGTGTTTTGAAATCTCCTTTCTTCATTCTTTGAAAGAGGCTTGACTGCGCTTGTTTGAGCCAGTATTCTTCTGCGGTTTGGAGCTCTTCGCCAGTTAAGGGTCCCAATTCCGGTTGAGTGTTCTCGTCGTTACGCTTCGCACGTAAATTACGGCAGAATCTCTGGATATAGGCAGTAACTCTAACAATTCGTTTCCACTTGGCATAGCGTTGACAATCAAATATTGGATGTGCGACGGTTACAGGGCAGGTGACGGTAACTTTTCTTCTCTCTTTGTTAACTTCTTGCGCGTCCGGTATACCCATTTCCATTGGCCATTGTTCCTCTGGTAGCGTTAAGAAAGACGGACCGTTAAACCATCTACCGTTGAGCTCTTTCGGTGTGATACCTTTAGTCAAGTCATCAGCAACATTTTCAGCGGTGGGACAATGATACCAATCTGCGGGATTAGAATTCGACTGGATTTCGCTGACTGGGCATGACACAAATGGTTTGTACGAACGTGGCATTCCTTGGATCCAGGCTAACGTTACTCGGCTGTCAGAGAAGAACATTGTTCTTAAAATTTTCAGTCTCGTTTCCTCTTGAATTGACTTCGCTAGACGACTCGCTGGTACGGCTGCTTGCAACTCCAGACGAGGGATCGTTAACTCCTTTAAGGGCGCAACTCGAGACTTAGCTGCTACAAACCGAACTCCAAATTTTCCATCTGTCAATTTCCATCTAACATAGGTACACGCTCCAAAGGCTTTTCGGGATGCATCACAGAATGTGATCAGATCTGGATTAAGTATTGCACCTGCTGGAGTGAGGCATCGTTGAAATCGAACGTTGTTAAGTGCAGCCATTTCATTAAACAACAATGTCCATTTTTTCTTTAGATCAGGTGGTATATCTTCATCCCAACTTAGACCGTGCTGCCAAAGCTCTTGCATACCGATCTTCGCTTTCACCAAAGTGGCTGCTCCGGCTCCGATGGGATCAAAAATGCCAGCTAACTTGCTGAGGATAATACGTTTTGTCATTTTGGACGGCTTTGTAGTAGACGTAGGCGTTGCTTCATTAGATAATTCATTGGAATACTCGATCTTTACTGCAAACGAGAACTGATCTTGCTTTGGATGCCAAACCGTTCCGAGAACTTTTTGCACATTGCTTTCTTCATTTGCTCCGAGTACTACTTCATCTCTGCTTTCTTTATCAGTCAATGGTTCGTTGGATATCCACTCTTTTATGTGAAAACCACCAGCATCGAGAACTTCGTCGATATTCGAAATCAGCTCTTTAGCGTCTGCCACAGAAGCTTGTGAATCACATACATCATCCATGTAGGTGTTTTCTATAATTGCTTCAGCTGCCTTTGGTTTGCTATCTTCTTTCAGTTCGGCTGTTTTGTGCATTGCTACTGTTGCCATAGCTGGGGCTGGACGATCTCCAAAGGTCAAAACGGTTTTAACATACACGTCTGTTTCTCGCTCTGTTTCCATATTGCGCCACAGAAACCGATGGACATGCTGATCTGAAAGTGGGATTGCAATCCTGTGATACATTTTGGATATGTCACCAACAACTGCTACTTCTTTTTCTCGAAATCGTAGCACTACTCCAAAGAGATTGTTAAGTAAGTCCGGTTCTTTATACCAATACTCATTTAAACTGTGGCCATTGTATGATGCAGAGCTGTTAAAGACAATTCTAACTGGAGTGCTTCTCTTTTCTGGGCGAACAACAGCGTGATGAGCAACGTAATGGACGGGTCCTTTCCATTCTTCAATTTCATCCTTCATCAATTTCCGAGCGAATTGAATCTTTTCCATTTCTTGCATCTGCTCATCATAACTTTTGGCATAAGCAGGCTGTTTACTGAGTCGACTTTCAGTGGACTCCATCTTCTTCAATACTTGTGAATAATTATCTGGTAACAGTTCGGGACTTTTCTTCCACGGGTAACTCATAGTCCATTTCTTTCCTTCCAAATTACACGACTCTTCAATCAGCTTTAATCCCTTTTGTTCCTCTGCTGTCATTTTGTTGGGCGGGCATTTGCATGGGAAAATTGGTACTCCCATCGACTCGATTGTCCAAAACTCCGTGAGATCTATTGCTGCGGTTAGACGGACATTCATGACTTGATTGGCTTTTCAATTGATCTATGGGAATTCCAAAGGTGTCTGAGATTCTGTTCAAATTGACATGGGTCATATCATCAGAGATATGTGGTATTCCAACCGCTTGGACGACTTGAACTCTTTTACCATCATGGGTAGACACTGGAACCTTGTATATATTGGTGTCTAACTCCTCTTCGGTGCCTCCAACTTTAGTGATAACTATCTTGGACTGTCTTCCTTCAAGCCCCATTTCTTCGGCAAGGTCTTTACGTACCATTGATATTTGAGCACCACTATCGTAGAAAACATTTGCAGCTTTTGTTCCATTCTTTCCTTTCACTTGACCGAGAAGCACTGGAAGCAAGGCACCACTACCATCATCATGGATAAAACCGATGTGGGGAGGTTTTGGGGTCACATTTGCATCGACATGGAGGAGCTTGTGATGAGGCTTATTGCAGACACCACCAGATTGTAGTTTCTCTCCGCATTCTTTCTTTCGTGAGCAGTTCGCAACCGTGTGGCCTTTGCCTCTCTTCAAACAGGAAAAGCATGCTCGTTGTTCTTTCACTATTTTCCATCTTTCATTTGGCGTCATATCACGGAATCTTTGGCATTCGTCTATATAGTGTCGACCTTGACATACATAACATTGCTTTGATTTGAATCGATCTTCTCCATGCTTTCCATCATCATTTTCAGTCTTGGAGCCAAATGTGTTGACCCTGTGTAATCGGACATTCTTGCGAATTTGGGCCCCAGAGCGCATTCGGGCAGTCATTTCTGCTTCCATCCAAAACAGAAGGTTGTCCATTGATGGTTCACACTTTTCGGAATTAAGATAGCGCGCCCACACCCTCAGGTCGTCTTCGCTCATTTTTCTTTCTATCAGGGAGATCACATGCGTATTATCCATATCCTGGGGGCGCTTAATTTCTTTCAAGATGTTGTACGACCGTCTCACTAAATTTACTAATTGGCAGAATCGATGATCTTCTCCAGGCTGAATACTTCTGAATCTTTCTAGATCTAGGGTAATCGTGTCTGATACAATTCTGGGGTCACCATAGTTTTGGTCTAGGTACTTCCATGCAGCATTTAAATCAGAGCTTATTCCTTCGATAATTTGGCAGGCTCAGAACTTAAACATGAACGTAGCACTGTCAATGTATCTCTTTCGGAATATTGTGCTTCGACAGCGTGTTTAAAATCCGACTTAAATATGAAATATTGTCGAACATCACCAGTAAACACAGGCAATTTAGCTTTTTCATGCTTAACAGTAAAGGGCTTGGCTGAACTCGGACTGTGTTGCATCATTTCAGGGTTTTGCATTGTGCTTGGGTGATCGTTCTCATTAGAAACAGTAGACTGTTCGATCATATAGTTACTTCCTTGACTATCATTACTTTCCTCATTGTTCTCTTTACTCGATTCACCAACGACACTGTCACTGACATTCTGTTTACTTTTATCCTCATCTATTTTCTTAATATAATCATGATAACGCATAGTAAAGGCTACGTACTCACTTGCACAGACTTGCATCCATTTTTCAGCTTCTTCGAACTCTTCATCATCTAATAACATAGTAAATTCTTCATGTTTCATCACTAATCCTTCATGAGCCCTTCGTAACTCTTCAAAGGCTTGTTTTACTTCACTTTTCGAACGACTTGCTTCAATCAGTTCATTTGTAACATTCATTGCTCTCGTCAGAGAACCTTTTGCACCACGACGTGCATTCTTAGCTTTATTCTTAATCTCTTTATCCATTTTACTTCAAAGACAAAGTTCAGTACATAGCACCATCAGCAAACATATAAAATCTTCAGATAATGGACCGATGGCGCAGGCGACAGTAGACAAACAACAACAATGGTTTGGTTTTCTTATTATTAAATTATACAAACACGAAATTTGCATAAAATATGTATATAATCTGAAGCTATAAGATAAAGAATAGAAAGAAAATTACGACTATGTTTACAAATATAAATGCATTATTTTACGTTACATCAGTACGCGTCTTTGCACTTACATTTGTCCAAACCACTGATAAACTTTAAAACCATAAATCCTAACTTGACTTTTCCTGGTTCAAAACATTAATTTTTAGCGTTTCTTTAGACTACTTTTATACGTACTTTTAACGTTCAACATGGCTTCCTTTTCGCGCGCTTTTTCTCAGTTCATCGCGGGCGACAATAAATATTCTACGTACGTCATGTTATTTTAGTCAAATCAACGTAACAATGCATAAGTGCAAAAATGAAAACATTATAACTTCTGAAGATGCTGCAAAACGTGCTGGACTGAGCAGTACTTAGTTTATTATTTTGAGTGCAGAGGATTGACATGGATACATAGAAGCCAGTTGAGGGAAAGGCATGTTCTATTGATGTAGAACTAATTTTCCTATGGGTGAGCTGGGCTTAGGTTGGGAAATTCTTTTAACTATTTGTGACATTTTGAACACTGGCCCTCCAGTTTATAGTGATAGTGCTTACCAAAAACACAATCAATCGGTGAATCTAGCAACAAGAAAAGTATTGGAAGAAAGATTGAACATTGGCGCGGCTGGTCGACTTGATGTAATAAAAGAGCTGAATATGTCTGCTGGTTTTTATACAAAAACTGGAAGTGGGAGAAAGAATGACAAGAGAGTAAAACAAGCAAATGCAAGGGCCCAGATGAAGTTCAAGGAAGCAAGACAGAAGTTTCAAGAGGCAAAATTGGCGGAATAGGCAAGATCGAAGGCACGGAAAGGAGTAACATATGAGAGCGCGGCATTTAACGAGGATTGTTTTAGTGGTTCAACCTAAGAGAAAGAGGCCGACAAGGAAAAGTAGTGGTAAAAAGGGCAAAAGCAAGCTGCCAAGAAAAAAATAGAGCCTCAAACACTCTTATAACACTCAAACAACAAGTTCCAACGGAAATTAAACTTTAACTGTCTATTTCTCAAAATGTGATATTTGGCCGCACGTCAACTGCCCCCCTAGCTTTTCTTGTTACTGTTTTAATGAAAATTTCCCATTTTTGGCACAGATGTAGTTTAAGGTATGTAGAATGCAACTATGAGCCATTTTTTTGATATTTATTTTCTAACAGGATTTATAGTGAAAAGTGTATATGCAATCTGTTTTATCCGTTACCATAGCAACCATGGTGAATTACAAAAAAATGGCTCATAGGAGCATAGTTCAATATCTTAGCTACCACAAGGTGCATTTTCACTTAGATACATCACATATTATGTGAAATTTTATGGGGGGGCAAAAGTGGCCTGTAAAATCCAGTTTTCCATATACTACTCGCTTCTTTGGTGTCAAATTTCAGTCCGATACACCGAACTGGAAAATTTTTTGTCTCAGCTGATAGCTGAAGATCTCTAGTTTCTAAAAATATATAGTTTATGCATATTTTGCTTAAAAATATGCCTCCTAACAATTGTTAAAGTTTTGTCCATTTTGAAGTACGATTGGGGTGAAGCTCCCCCTTAAGTTGTCTTTCTGCTGTTCTGGCAAGCAAGTCAATTTTGGCTTGGAAATAAGTATGAATGAGACAAATTATTTAGTATCTTCACAACATTTACCGTTCAGAATTAATACATTGTGCTGGTATTCATTTGTGTCATTCAGACTTATTTCCGAGTCAAAACTGAACTGAAGGTCATCGGACATATGTCCGACCCAAACTCAACGTCACCGGACATTTTGTCAGACGGCCTTGTAAAAGATATTTTGGGGCCTGCACTGAGATACCGCTGGTTCGCCACAGCGGGTATTCAAATACGTTAACAGCCATTATGCATTTGTGAGTGTAACCTAACCCCCTCCCCCCTGAGAGAACAAGAGAGTTGCTGTGGGCCCCTATTATCCCTTTTGATAAGTCAGGCAATCCACCACATAATTTTCCTTTCAAATGCAAGACGAATATACTTGTCAATGCAAGGGGAGAGCTTTGGCACTCTATGGGTTGACCAGTATATGCCTATGCATCCTGTTAAGCCTTTGATAAGTCTGAATGCAATACAATGCACCCTACTTTATTCTGTCTAATGGCAAATTTTATTTGTGAAGGGGAGAGTGCTGAATGAGTTGACCTGCACCCTGATGTGCCCTACTTTTAGTATTTTACTCTGTCTTATGCCAGAGTATTTTACTCTGTCTAACGCCAGATGATTTTACTCATCAAGTGGAGAGTGCTGCCCCTCGATGGATGGATGAATGGAATATTATACTAATTGCTTTGAGCAAAGGTGATTCCCTTTATAGCCTGCTCGCAGCCTGAAATTAATTTAGAAGGGGAAAATTTCCCCTTCTAAATTTCAGGCTGCGAGCAGGCTATTCCCTTTGTGGCATAAAATTTAACCAGGGCATTCTTCAAGTTTTCAACACATCTCAGGATTTTTCTTGGCATCTGGAAAAGTGTAATAGAATACATCCAATCAGTCATCTACTATATTATGTATATAATTTGATCTACATGCTATTGAACATTATATTATTTTTTTCCTCATTTCAAATATTAAAATATGTCGATCTTTCAGACATAGAAATTAGAGTGTTGTGAAATAAGCATCCCCACCCATGTACTATCCATAAATGCATATTCGTCAAGAAAAATTCATGTCTATTTGCTGGCCTTTTTATATATGAACTAAAACTTTACTTGTACAACTATCTATTGGAACCTTTGCAGAGATTCCTCCTATGTTAGCCATGAAAAAAGATTAAAATTGTCTGTTAAAATCACAACTCAACATTGTAGTGTGAGCCTTGCAAGCTTTTATTCAACACTTTATACTCCTACAGCTCGAGACACTTGTTAGGAACAGTTTTGATCTTTTTTGTGCCCATTACAACCATACATTGGGCCTCTTATGACAATATATTAAAACCCCAGGATAAGTTCGACTATTGACACCATGGCATTTGTGACTTGACACTGCTTGACACTTGTCCATCATTTTAAGCCTTATAAAGGCATTTCTATTACAATACTGTATGTGAAAATTGATGTTGGGGCTGTTGGATCTTTGGGTAAGGACTCCAGAGGAAAACAAAAACTATAACCTACCCAAATGGCAAAATAAAACACAACGAAAAGTGATAAAGGCAGAATAACACCAGCTGCTGTACAGCGTCGTTATATTTGTAAATTTCGTATCCAATTTTTTCTTTTAAAAAACAGAATTTAGTACAAATGAAGCACAGAGAAAGAGTTTAATATACATCTTACCGGTAAAAAGAAGTGTTTCTTCTTGATATTAAAGAATTGTGGCATCATGAAGCCATGCAAAAACTCGGCATTTTTTCTTGATGTTTTTTATATAAATTTTCAGCAGAGTTTCAGCTTTTTTGTGCAAAAACCAGGGGGGTGAAATTGTCGTCTGAAACCGAGGATCGCGGTTGGTCAGTGGTAATTACCACGAGGATTTGGGACCAGTGGCGTCATTCTGGCGTCAGCAGACGTGAAAATCCGCCATGTTTTTGGCTTCACTTTTTGATGCCGAGCACTTCCTCCAGTTATATTATAGCTCAGTGGAGGCATCCAACCACGCCATCAATCCCAGTAAAAACATTAGGTCACG